TTTGGTTAATTTCTGGAGTTCTGATAATGTTGTCTTATGATTTTTGTCAGTTTTTCATTACTTTTATGGAGGACTAAATATTCACAGTACTTATCACATAGTTTTCACTGATGTTCTCATTCACTAATATGCTTCTAGCTATAACGCAATTCTCCTGTATTATTTTGTGTGAATGCTCACGGCAAGCATTAAATGTTGCAACAAATTTTAATCCAAAAGACATGAATCCCTTCTAAGTAGATTTTAGAAACTAAACTCAAAATAAATTGGCTAAAAATACTAACCTAAAGATGGAATTCAAAAAATAAATGTTCCTCTGCCGCGGCCAGCCGGGCCCGCCGCCGCCCCTCACCGCCCGGGCCCAGGCCGCCCAGACTCCCAGCCCGCCGCCCGCTCCCGACCCCAGACCTCCGCCCCCAACCGCATGGGCCGCGCCAGCCGCCGAGCCGGGAAGATGCTGCTGTCCCTAGTGCTCCACACGTACTCGATGCGCTACGTCGTGCTCCTGGGCACGGCGCCCACCTACATGCTGGCCTGGGGGGTCTGGCGGCTGCTCTCTGCCTTCCTGCCCGCTCCCTTCTACCAGGCGGTGGACGACCGGCTCTACTGCATCTACCAGCGCATGGTGCTCTTCTTCTTCGAGAACTACACCGGGGTGCAGATATTGCTATATGGAGATTTGCCAGAAAATAAAGAAAATATAATATATTTAGCAAATCATCAAAGCACAGTTGACTGGATTGTTGCTGACGTCCTAGCCATTAGGCAGAATGCTCTTGGACATGTGCGCTATGTGCTGAAAGATCGCCTAAAATGGCTTCCACTGTACGGGTGTTATTTTCCTCAGCATGGAGGAATCTATGTAAAGCGAAGTGCCAAATTTAATGAAAAAGAAATGAGAAACAAGCTGCAGAGCTACGTGAACACAGGAACTCCGATGTATCTTGCGATTTTCCCAGAAGGTACAAGATATAATCCACGACAAACAAAACTCCTTTCAGCTGGTCAGGCATTTGCTGCTCAAAAAGGCTTTGCAGTATTAAAACATGTGCTGACACCAAGAATAAAGGCAACTTATGTTGCTTTTGATTCTATGAAGAATTACTTAGATGCAATTTATGATGTTACAGTGGTGTACGAAGGGAAAGATGACAGAGGGCAGCGCAAAGAGTCCTGTCCATGACTGAATTTCTCTGCAAAGAATGTCCAAAAATTCATAATCATATTGATCATATAGACAAAAAAGATGTCCCAGAAAACCAAGAATATATGAGAAGATGGCTTCATGAACGTTTTGAAATAAAAGATAAGTTGTTTATAGAATTCTATGATTCACCAGATCCAGAAAGAAGAAACAAATTTCCTGGGAAAAGTGTTAATTCCAAATTAAGTATCAAGAAGACTTTACCA